AAAAGGGTAGTCTCATGTCGATGGCTTATTTCTATCTTAACATAGTTTTATTTTTAGCTTTCCATACTCAAGGGAATATAATTCTGTAGACCCTCATTAGTACTACTTTCACTTGTCTAAGTGGATTTACTTCAAGATGAACCGTTGAATGGGTACTTCTTGCAAAGTAGCATGCAATTAATTTGGTTGACGATGGAATAATGGGCACCATGTGCCATTTGCATTAAGGAGGCAGATCAACTTACTCCATTGCTTGAAATGGAATCATCAAAATCCGTTCTCTGTACTCCTCGTACGATACTTTGCGATCTCCGTTCTTGTCGAAATGTCCTACAAACATCTAAACCAAAGGTAAAAGCATGGAGGAAGAAAAGTTTAGATTTGATAACGCAGACAGTCTTTGATTAGTTAGTTTGGGGCACTTACTAAGGCAAGAACAGGGTCAAAAATGTTGCGCTCAACACCGGCTCTCATGTCATCCTCCGTAATATAGCCATCCTTGTTCAGATCCATGTCATCAAAACACGTTCGGAGGAAGTTATCGCCTGCCATTGGCACAGCTGCAAAATATTTAAAGATAACCAGTTATGTAGGCAATTAATCTCAATTTGTCTCTTAGTTCTTAAATATATAAATTCGACGATTTAGGTAGCTGCAAAGACCAAAGCAATATAATTATTAACTCAACTATTCAAAATAGGCCTCTTTTAAATTTGTATCATTAATGTTTCCCTCACGAATCATCGGTCAATGTGCTTCGACACTTGATACAGAGAACCAGAATGAGGAAATGAAATTAAGCAATAGGAATGATAAAAAATTCATCCTACAAGAAAGAGAGAGTCAACAAGTGTCCCTTGGAATAGTTATATTTTAGAAAGATGTTTATAAGAGCATTGTTCAATTTTAATCATCATTATGATCGCCAAAGGTACAGAGAAAACTTTCTAGATTGTCTAAACTACCAATTAAATCTGTTTTGAATGCTTACAAAACTTCCGTTGAAAATGTTT